CAATTTTTGTTTCACAAAGCAGTTTTCTTGCATTATGAAGCGAGGATTAGAACTACTGCAAAAGCCAACATTGCTACCTCTTGAAGAATTAAATCTTGACCAGAATTTAAAGAATTGACTCTAGACCAGGAAAAAAGAATCGAGGATTAGATGTACTGCCAAGGAGAAAAAAAGACACCAGCATTCCCTCAATGTCTCATTGAGATCAGAACTAAGATTTAAAAAAATGTTAATAGGTTACACAAATACCTAATACAACTAATCCATTACCTGCCACTTCATGATCATATTCTTTTCTTTATGAACAGTACCAACAAATGTTTCATCTAAAATATGTGTAAAGATGGCAAATCTAAACTCAAGCCAACATTGCCTTCACTTGAAGATTAAATTTTGACCCTGAGGTTTTTGTGTTTGGAAAAACAAAAACATTGTTGGGATTTACTCCTGCTGATCGTCTTACTTTTAAATTTGTTATAATATTAAGAACCTTCCAACAATCATTTGAAATTAAGACTGGGACAAGCTTTGCAATTTTTGATGCATGGATATATGCAATTTTTGTTTCACAAAGCAGTTTTCTTGCATTATGAAGCGAAGATTAGAACTACTGCAAAAGCCAACATTGCTACCTCTTGAAGAATTAAATCTTGACCAGAATTTAAAGAATTGACTCTAGACCAGGAAAAAAGAATCGATGATTAGAAGTACTGCCAAAGAGAAAAAAAGACGCCAGCATTCCCTCAATGTCTCACATTGAGATCAGAACTAAAATTTAAAAAAAAATGTGAATAGGCTACACATATACCTAATACAACTAATCCATTACCCTCCACTTCATGATCACATTCTTTTCTTTATGAACAGTGCCAACAAATGTTTCATCTAAAACATGTGTAAAGATGGCAAATCTAAACTCAAGCCAATACTGCCTTCACTTGAAGATTAGATTTTGACCAGGAATATGAAGCGAAAATTAGAACTACTGCAAATGCAACATTGCCTTCACTTGAAGAATTAAATCTAGAGTTTACTCAGGTGACCTAAAAATATTCAATATAAGCAAAAGGTGCCATTTTTGATGACATTTGTTTTAGTACATATATTGAATTTAATAATTTAACTTCAAATTCATCAATTCTGACCACTTGTCAAAGAACTCCTCCGACAAATAGTATTTCTATCAAAGCTGGGGGCACTGACATATGTTTTCATTAATTGTTTCTGAATCCCTCATTTGTTTAAAAAAAACTCGATCAGATGGGGCAAAATCCAGTGCCGCATATTCTGTTGCCATAAAGTGGCATTCAGATTGTGCTCTAGTTTTGCTTCTCAGCACATTCTGTTCACACAATCCCAGCCCACAACATGACCCATTGAGGTTTTTGTGTTTGGAAAAACAAAAGCATTTTTGGGATTTACTCCTGCTGATCGTCTTACTTCTAAATTTGTTATAATATTAAGAGCCCCCCAACAATCATTTGGAATTAAGACTGGGACAAGCTTTGCAATTTTTGATGCATGGATATATGCAATTTTTGTTTCACAAAGCAGTTTTCTTGCATTATGAAGCGAGGATTAGAACTACTGCAAAAGCCAACATTGCTACCTCTTGAAGAATTAAATCTTGACCAGAATTATAAAGAATTGACTCTAGACCAGGAAAAAAGAATCGAGGATTAGATGTACTGCCAAGGAGAAAAAAAAGACACCAGCATTCCCTCAATGTCTCATTGAGATCAGAACTAAGATTAAAAAAAATGTTAATAGGTTACACAAATACCTAATACAACTAATCCATTACCTGCCACTTCATGATTATATTCTTTTCTTTATGAACAGTACCAACAAATGTTTCATCTAAAATATGTGTAAAGATGGCAAATCTAAACTCAAGCCAACATTGCCTTCACTTGAAGATTAAATTTTGACCCTGAGGTTTTTGTGTTTGGAAAAACAAAAACATTGTTGGGACTTACTCCTGCTGATCGTCTTACTTTTAAATTTGTTATAATATCAAGAACCTTCCAACAATCATTTGGAATTAAGACTGGGACAAGCTTTGCAATTTTTGATGCATGGATATATGCAATTTTTGTTTCACAAAGCAGTTTTCTTGCATTATGAAGCGAAGATTAGAACTACTGCAAAAGCCAACATTGCTACCTCTTGAAGAATTAAATCTTGACCAGAATTTAAAGAATTGACTCTAGACCAGGAAAAAAGAATCGAGGATTAGAAGTACTGCCAAAGAGAAAAAAGACGCCAGCATTCCCTCAATGTCTCACATTGAGATCAGAACTAAAATTAAAAAAAATGTTAATAGGCTACACATATACCTGATACAACTAATCCATTACCCTCCACTTCATGATCACATTCTTTTCTTTATGAACAGTGCCAACAAATGTTTCATCTAAAATATGTGTAAAGATGGCAAATCTAAACTCAAGCCAACATTGCCTTCACTTGAAGATTAAATTTTGACCCTGAGGTTTTTGTGTTTGGAAAAACAAAAACATTGTTGGGATTTACTCCTGCTGATCGTCTTACTTTTAAATTTGTTATAATATTAAGAACCTTCCAACAATCATTTGGAATTAAGACTGGGACAAGCTTTGCAATTTTTGATGCATGGATATGTGCAATTTTTGTTTCACAAAGCAGTTTTCTTGCATTATGAAGCGAAGATTAGAACTACTGCAAAAGCCAACATTGCTACCTCTTGAAGAATTAAATCTTGACCAGAATTTAAAGAATTGACTCTAGACCAGGAAAAAAGAATCGATGATTAGAAGTACTGCCAAAAAGAAAAAAAGACGCCAGCATTCCCTCAATGTCTCACATTGAGATCAGAACTAAAATTAAAAAAAAATGTGAATAGGCTACACATATACCTAATACAACTAATCCATTACCCTCCACTTCATGATCACATTCTTTTCTTTATGAACAGTGCCAACAAATGTTTCATCTAAAATATGTGTAAAGATGGCAAATCTAAACTCAAGCCAATACTGCCTTCACTTGAAGATTAGATTTTGACCAGGAATATGAAGCGAAAATTAGAACTACTGCAAATGCAACATTGCCTTCACTTGAAGAATTAAATCTAGAGTTTACTCAGGTGACCTAAAAATATTCAATATAAGCAAAAGGTGCCATTTTTGATGACATTTGTTTTAGTACATATATTGAATTTAATAATTTAACTTCAAATTCATCAATTCTGACCACTTGTCAAAGAACTCCTCCGACAAATAGTATTTCTATCAAAGCTGGGGGCACTGACATATGTTTTCATTAATTGTTTCTGAATCCCTCATTTGTTTAAAAAAAACTCGATCAGATGGGGCAAAATCCAGTGCCGCATATTCTGTTGCCATAAAGTGGCATTCAGATTGTGCTCTAGTTTTGCTTCTCAGCACATTCTGTTCACACAATCCCAGCCCACAACATGACCCATTGAGGTTTTTGTGTTTGGAAAAACAAAAGCATTTTTGGGATTTACTCCTGCTGATCGTCTTACTTCTAAATTTGTTATAATATTAAGAGCCCCCCAACAATCATTTGGAATTAAGACTGGGACAAGCTTTGCAATTTTTGATGCATGGATATATGCAATTTTTGTTTCACAAAGCAGTTTTCTTGCATTATGAAGCGAGGATTAGAACTACTGCAAAAGCCAACATTGCTACCTCTTGAAGAATTAAATCTTGACCAGAATTTAAAGAATTGACTCTAGACCAGGAAAAAAGAATCGAGGATTAGATGTACTGCCAAGGAGAAAAAAAGACACCAGCATTCCCTCAATGTCTCATTGAGATCAGAACTAAGATTAAAAAAAATGTTAATAGGTTACACAAATACCTAATACAACTAATCCATTACCTGCCACTTCATGATCATATTCTTTTCTTTATGAACAGTACCAACAAATGTTTCATCTAAAATATGTGTAAAGATGGCAAATCTAAACTCAAGCCAACATTGCCTTCACTTGAAGATTAAATTTTGACCCTGAGGTTTTTGTGTTTGGAAAAACAAAAACATTGTTGGGATTTACTCCTGCTGATCGTCTTACTTTTAAATTTGTTATAATATTAAGAACCTTCCAACAATCATTTGGAATTAAGACTGGGACAAGCTTTGCAATTTTTGATGCATGGATATATGCAATTTTTGTTTCACAGAGCAGTTTTCTTGCATTATGAAGCGAAGATTAGAACTACTGCAAAAGCCAACATTGCTACCTCTTGAAGAATTAAATCTTGACCAGAATTTAAAGAATTGACTCTAGACCAGGAAAAAAGAATCGAGGATTAGAAGTACTGCCAAAGAGAAAAAAAGACGCCAGCATTCCCTCAATGTCTCATATTGAGATCAAAACTAAAATTAAAAAAAAAATGTTAATAGGCTACACAAATACCTAATACAACTAATCCCTTACCTTCCACTTCATGATCACATTCTTTTCTTTATGAACAGTGCCAACAAATGTTTCATCTAAAATATGTGTAAAGATGGCAAATCTAAACTCAAGCCAACATTGCCTTCACTTGAAGATTAAATTTTGACCAGGAATTAGAACTACTGGAAATGCAACATTACTTTCACTTGAAGAATTAAATCTAGAGTTTACTCAGGTGACCTAACAATATTAAATATACTGTAGATCACTAATTTTTCGCGACACCTTATTTTCGCGAGATTGTCATTGACTCTTTGTAAGCGAGACATAATTTTCACGAATAGTTGTTATTCCTCTACATAATCGTAAGGAATACTTTTATACGCGAGAATTAAATTTTCGCGAACGCATTGTCTCGCGTAATTACGCGAAAATCAAGTTCTCGCTAATAAAAAGTGATTTACAGTAAGCAAAGGTGCCATTTTTGATGAAATTTGTTTTAGTACATATATTGAATTTAATAATTTAACTTCACATTCATCCATTCTGACCACTTGTCAAAGAACTCCTCCGACAAATAGTATTTCTATCAAAGCTGGGGGCACTGACATATGTTTTCATTAATCGTTTCTGAATCCCCCATTTGCTTAAAAAAAAACTCTCGATCAGATGGGGCAAAATCCAGTGCCGCATATTCTGTTGCCATAAAGTGCCGCATGCCAGTGACATTCAGATTGTGCTCTAGTTTTGCTTCTCTGCACATTCTGTTCACACAATCCCCGCCCACAACATGACCCATTGAGGTCTTTGTGTTTGGAAAAACAAAAACATTGTTGGGATTTACTCCTGCTGATCGTCTTACTTTTAAATTTGTTATAATATTAAGAACCTTCCAACAATCATTTGGAATTAAGACTGGGACAAGCTTTGCAATTTTTGATGCACGGATATATGCAATTTTTGTTTCACAATTCAGTTTTCTTGCATTATGAAGCGAAGATTATAACTACTGCAAAAGCCAACATTGCTACCTCTTGAAGAATTAAATCTTGACCAGAATTTAAAGAATTGAATCTAGACCAGGAAAAAAGAATCGAGGATTAGAAGTACTGCCAAAGAGAAAAAAAGACACCAGCATTCCCTCAATGTCTCACATTGAGATCAGAACTAAGATTAAAAAAAATGTTAATAGGTTACACAAATACCTAATACAACTAATCCGTTACCTTCCACTTCATGATCACATTCTTTTCTTTATGAACAGTACCAACAAATGTTTCATCTAAAATATGTGTAAAGATGGCAAATCTAAACTCAAGCCAACATTGCCTTCACTTGAAGATTAAATTTTGACCCATTGAGGTCTTTGTGTTTGGAAAAAAAAAACATTGTTGGGATTTACTCCTGATCGTCTTACTTTTAAATTTGTTATAATATTAAGAACCTTCCAACAATCATTTGGAATTAAGACTGGGACAAGCTTTGCAATTTTTGATGCATGGATATATGCAATTTTTGTTTCACAAAGCAGTTTTCTTGCATTATGAAGCGAAGATTAGAACTACTGCAAAAGCCAACATTGCTACCTCTTGAAGAATTAAATCTTGACCAGAATTTAAAGAATTGAATCTAGACCAGGAAAAAAGAATCGAGGATTAGAAGTACTGCCAAAGAGAAAAAAAGACGCCAGCATTCCCTCAATGTCTCCAATTGAGATCAGAACTAAAATTAAAAAAAATGTTAATAGGCTACACAAATACCTAATACAACTAATCCCTTACCTTCCACTTCATGATCACATTCTTTTCTTTATGAACAGTGCCAACAAATGTTTCATCTAAAATATGTGTAAAGATGGCAAATCTAAACTCAAGCCAATACTGCCTTCACTTGAAGATTAGATTTTGACCAGGAATATGAAGCGAAAATTAGAACTACTGCAAATGCAACATTGCTTTCACTTGAAGAATTAAATCTAGAGTTTACTCAGGTGACCTAAAAATATTCAATATAAGCAAAAGGTGCCATTTTTGATGACATTTGTTTTAGTACATATATTGAATTTAATAATTTAACTTCAAATTCATCAATTCTGACCACTTGTCAAAGAACTCCTCCGACAAATAGTATTTCTATCAAAGCTGGGGGCACTGACATATGTTTTCATTAATTGTTTCTGAATCCCCCATTTGTTTAAAAAAAAAAACTCTCGATCAGATGGGGCAAAATCCAGTGCCGCATATTCTGTTGCCATAAAGTGGCATTCAGATTGTGCTCTAGTTTTGCTTCTCTGCACATTCTGTTCACACAATCCCAGCCCACAACATGACCCATTGAGGTTTTTGTGTTTGGAAAAACAAAAACATTGTTGGGATTTACTCCTGCTGATCGTCTTACTTCTAAATTTGTTATAATATTAAGAGCCCTCCAACAATCATTTGGAATTAACACTGGGACAAGCTTTGCATTTTTTGATGCATGGATATATGCAATATTTGTTTTACAAAGCAGTTTTCTTGCATTATGAAGCGAAGATTAGAACTACTGCAAAAGCCAACATTGCTACCTCTTGAAGAATTAAATCTTGACCAGAATTTAAAGAATTGACTCTAGACCAGGAAAAAAGAATCGAGGATTAAAAGTACTGCCAAAGAGAAAAAAAGACACCAGCATTCCCTCAATGTCTCACATTGAGATCAGAACTAAGATTAAAAAAAATGTTAATAGGTTACACAAATACCTAATACAACTAATCCATTACCTGCCACTTCATGATCATATTCTTTTATTTATGAACAGTACCAACAAATGTTTCATCTAAAATATGTGTAAAGATGGCAAATCTGAACTCAAGCCAACTTTGCCTTAACTTGAAGATTAAATCCAGTGCCGCATATTCTGTTGCCGTAAAGTGGCATTCTCTGCACATTCTGTTAACACAATTCCAGCCCAGATGACCCATTGAGGTTTTTGTGTTTGGAAAAACAAAAACATTGTTGGGATTTATTCCTGCTGATCGTCTTTCTTCTAATTTTGTAATAAAATTAAGAACCTTCCGACAATCATTTGGAATTAAGACTGGGACATGCTTTGCAATTTTTGATTCATGGATATATGCAATTTTTGTTTCACAAAGCAGTTTTCTTGCATTTAAATCTTGAATGCTTTCATTTTTAAACTGGTTCACTCACTTGTCATTCATGGCGTCTGAAAGCTCAGACAGCAGCATTCTACTTGGCTCTCCTCCTCTAGCATTAAATAAAATGAGTCTACAAACAAAAGCATCACACAATTTGCAGAACTCAGGGCTTCCATATACAGAGTAGCAATTGCCAGTTAGCTTTACAAGTTCTGAGTCCCGAAAACTTTCAAGTATATCACATCGATAATAATTTGAATAAGTGTCATCAGCAACCAAGTTTCTTACTGAAACAGGTGAAGATGCAGTCATGGAACTTTCAGCAGACAAACAAGAATTCTTGTGTTTATATACCAGGAAGCTTGAAAAAACCTTACATGCAGAGCACATTTTCACTGAGGTTGTGCTTCTTTTAAGTGTTCAGAATTTCATTGTTTGCTCTTTAAATATTCTTTTTTTTTATTTCAGCAAACGCAACATACTTCACTAAAAGAAACAGATTTAGACCAAGTAAAAAAGATGCAAGGATTAGAAGTACTGCAAAAGGCAACATTGCCTTCACTTGATAATTTAATCTTGAAAAAGAAATAAGAATCGATCATTAGAAGTACACCTAAAACTAACATTGACTTTACTTGAAGAATTAAATCTTCATTAGAAAAAATGCAAGGATTTCCTTAATGTCTCATATTGAGATCAGAGCTAAAGTTAAAAATTAATAGGCTACACAAATACAAGTACAAACTTTGCCACAACTCGATAAATTAAATTTTGACAAGGAAAAAAGTTAAATTAATAGGCTACACAAACACTTAGTACTACTGATCCTTTACATCCCACTTTTTCATCACATTCTTTTTCTTCATGAACTGTACCAGTTGTTTCAACTAAAATGTTTCATCTAAAAATCTTACATCTGTAAAGTTGGCAAATCCAAACTCAAGCCAACAATGCCTTCAATTGAAGATTGAAACTTGACCAAGAAATATGAAGCGAGAGTTAGAACTACTGCAAAAGCCAACATCACCACCACTTGAAAAAATAAATTTTGACCAGAAATTAAAGAATTAAATCTAGACCAGGAAAAAAGATGCGAGGATTAGAAGTACTACCAAAGCTAACATTGCCTTCTCTTGGAAGAATTAAATTTGAAAATAAAATGAAATTCGATTGTTAGAAGTCAACTAACATCAACATTGACATCACTTGAAGAATTAAATCTTGATCAGAAAAAAAGACCCTTTGCAACTATCCTAAACTGTCCCATCTCCTCTGCCTTTTCATTCTTATTTTGAATAAATAGCTGGCTTGCATCAGTTAACTTACATCTTGCAACAGATATTTTTTTATTTAATTTGAAACCATTTTTGAAATTTTTTAAAATACCTTCTTTTTTTTTTATCTCGGCAAACGCTCTGTTTCTCAAGTGCTTTGGTAATGAAAGAGCATTTTTTACTTTTTCTTCGGATTTGTGTCTGGTTTTTAAATGATTTGTTAGTCTCCCTTTCAATTCACCATTATTGCATTAATTTAAATGGTTTTGGCCCCACCTCTCAAGCCCTAGGGGTTTAAGGAAAATAATATTAAAAAATTTTGTTTCCCTTTACCCATGGATGGCTACATACTAAAATTGGTTGAGTGGTAACAAAGTCATTGACCTTAGTGTCCTTTGTATGAGTTAAATTAGTTTAGCATGCATATCAAACATGATTTCTCTATCTCTTATGGTTCGAAAGTTATGGAAAATTTAGCTTGTAACTGTCCAAACAGGACAAAATACCCCCCGCTGGGTTTTTCAGAAGTGCTAAATCATGAATATTTTATGGATCTAATATAAATAAAACGAAGGCGCAGCCTAATAAAAAAATTAGACTAAATATACGGACCAGACACGAATTATAAACTTTTTCTGTCAGTGACCTTGAACTTGCATAAATAACCTTTGTTCAAAGTTATGACACAACCTCAGGTCATAAAGCAATGTTTTTGTGAAGTAGTAGATACTAGTTTTTCCATAATAAAGAAAGATTTGGACAGGACACAAATTATAAAAAAAAAATTTCAGTGACCTTGAACTTCCCAAAATGACCCAGGTCTTGACACATCCATGGGTAGTGAGCAATCTTTGTGTGAAATGAGAACTAACCAAATTCATCCATAAGAAAGATTTGGACCAGACACGAATTACGAAATTTTTCTTCCAGTGACCTTGTATTTCCCAAAATGACCTTGACCGAAGGCCACGACACATCCTTGGGTCATGAAGGAATCTATCGTTGTGTGAAATGAGAACCTACCAAATTTATTCATAAGAAAGCTATGTACTGAACACAAATTCTGAAATTTTTCTTTCAGTGACCTTAAACTTTCTCAAATGACCTTGGGTCACGGTCATGACATACCCTTAGTTCATGGACAATCTTTGTGTGAAATTAGAACCTACCAGGTTTATCAATAAGAAAGATATGGACCGGACACGAATTATGATTTTTTTTTTCCAGTGACCTTGAACTTCCCAAATGACCTTGTGTCAAAGTCATTACACACCCTTAGGTCATTAGCAATCTGTGTGATTCCTAAATACCCCCAAACTTCGTTTGCAGGGGGTATAATTACAGTCAAGGTCACGAGGTCATTGACTTTGGTATATTTTGAAAGAACTATTTTAGTGAAATACACATACCAAATATCAAGTCCCTACCTCTCAAGGTTAAAAAATTATGAGAAAGGTTCAAGTTGACAACATACAGACAGACAAACAAATAAATATTGCAAAGCAACGAATAGGTCTTCCGTTGGAGCTACGGACAGGAAGACGTAACCTTGAGTCTAGGTCAAGCCACATTCTAAAGTTATATAAGTAAGCAACCTAAAGGCTTGTAAAGGAAACAACTAACAATGTTTCGCCAAGAAGAAGACTGTAAAGGAATGTATGTGAACTTTGAACTTTCTAAATGACCTTGCATCAAGCAAAGACAAATTCTGTTATAAAAATCTAATATGTGTGTTACCGACTGGAAAAGTTCACACATGTTTTTTAAATATTCTTTGAGTTCATACATCCAGCCAAAACATCTAATCTTTAGTGACCTTGAACTTGAGTCAAGGTCATGTCCCACCCTGCATTATATCAGCAATGTTTCACTGGTACTAAGCAAAATGCAAATTTAAGATAAGTGAGGTGAAGGTAACAGGAAAGTGCAAGGTCAAAATATATCAGCATACTAAAGTTTGATAATTGAATGGATTCTTCAAAACTGAGCGACAATCCTTATGGGACGTGGGTTTGAATCCCACTGTGGGACGTGGAGACCGGTCCTTCGGATGAGACTGTATAAACCGAGGTCCTGTGTCGCAGATGTGCTGGCACAATAAAGATCCCTCCCTGCGCAATGGCCCTGAGTGCCATGTATAGGACAAAATTTGCAGCTCTCCATCGGAAAGTGGTGGTGTCTCCATATGAATGAAAAATTCTCGAGAGGGACGTTAAACAATATACAATCAATCAAAACTGAGCATCTAACTTTGGCCAATTTTTTTTAGTGTCAAATTATTTTCCAAGTTTCCATCATTTTACTTGTAGACTATTTTAGAAACAGGAAGTCTAATTTACCTATTAAATTATAGAGTCTCATTGTATCGCGGTATGGGAAAACATGGAAACTTGAATACGATATGGACCTCAGTTTTTATTTTTGAATTTGCCATGAAATTCTACATGAAAATAAACAGTTGTACAAACTAAACACTTTTAAAGGATGAACTTGATTATAATTTTACAAGGTTATAAATTTAATGGTCTAAATTTAATAAACGCGGGATTGGAAATCTGTAAAATTACGTTTTACTTGAATATTCTTTAATCATCAAAAAGTAAACATTCAGACAACATACATATTGTCTGTCAACAAAAAAATGTATTCTAGTATGTATTCAATTTTTGCAAGATATTGCGATACAATGAAACCCGCGAATGAGAATCCAGTACACACATAAACAAATCAATCGATTGACATTCTCACCTCAGAAGATTAACAATGACTGACCAGAAGGAGGTTAATATTACCGTTATTTAGGTAGTCCGATCCTCATGTTTATAAAATTAGCAGTAAAGTAATCAAAAATACTCATAAAAGTATATCTGAATCCACAAAGTTATGAAAATTTATCCACAGTATTTCTTTAAAGTTGAAAATTAAAGTTAATCATATTATATAGGGAAAATTGTCAAATCAACAATATTTTTGCAGAAAAAACGAATTGGAATATCAGCAATGTATTTTCTAGTTGCAAATTGATCAACAAATATATTTTAGATTAAAAACGTATCCAGGCATTCAGATCTTCTATTTGTTTACCTGTCCTGCTTTTTACTACATATTACGCAATACCCCCGGTATATTCGAACAAAACAAGATTTTCATCAGATCAAAAAGCTGTTAAAGAACAATTTTGTTCACAAGATCAAAATATTTACCGTTTTTGAGTTATAAAACAAAAAAGCAAAAACTTTCAAGGCCCCTATATCCCTAATTTTAGGGGCACTTTTGATTGATTGATTGTATACTGTTTAACTCTCCAGAATATATCACTGATATGGAGACGTCACCATTGCCGGTGAAGGTCTGCAAATTTAGGCCTATGCTCGGCATTTACGGCCTTTGAGCAGGGAGGAATCTTTATCTTGCCACACCTGCTGTAACACGGGGCATTGGTTTATACTGTCTCATCTGAAGGACAACCCCATTTAGTCGCCTTTTACGACAAGCAAGGGGGTACTGAGGACCTACTCTAACCCGGATCCCCACGGGGCTGTTATCAAATGAAACATCTTGCAATTATGCCCAACTTTTATTCAACATGTCTTAACAAAATATTTTTAGTTTTCAAGATATAAAGTAAAATATGTCAACTTTTTTGCTGTTTTCCACGTTTTAACTTTTGACCCCTCTCTGGCGCCATTTTTAATGCAAAAATCAAAAAGTGATGTGCACAACTTCAATGCTTCCTTCTCAATTTCAAAGGATTTTGTGCTCCAATTATTAGCTCTTCTGAGCCTTTGTCTGGAAATCAGAGGTATGAAAAAATCA